AATATGATAGATTCCTTCACACTCACCACACACCAATGTTTGTTATTAGGCTCCGATTATGTCTAGAGCCATTAGGTGTAGAGGTTTTATACTTTATTTTGAAGACTAGATTGTTTGATTTGAAATGTATGCAAACTAGGAACAAACTCTCTTAGAAGGGCCACATACTGCCCCCTGCTAAGGAGAAGGCTACAGTCTTTACTGAAATGGGCTGTGTATTTGTAGTAGGACGGGGGTGGGTGGGGGTTAGGGAAGGGGGTGGTGTGGGTAAGGGGTTATGGTAGATTGGGTCTCTCTGCACAACCTGTGAGAGCTGTGTGAACTGGTTTAGAGTGAGAGGGGGACAGGGTGGATCACTGTAGAAGAATCTGCTTAGATCTCCCCTTCGAAACCACCAGTCCTCTAAAACCATAATTATAACATTACCTAACCCAGATTGACCAATTACAATTAACCTAGTGGGATTGTAAACAATATACAGCATTCCTGAGAAAGGTTTATTTTCTCCATACAGCGCTTGTTCTTTAATGCAGGTTGTGTAAAACGGTGCAGTACAGAACATAAGGCATGCTGTGTGTGTGTGTGTAAACATATGTGTATAAACATGCATGCATTGTGTGTGTGTGTGTGCGTTTGTGTGTGCTTGAGAATGGAAACAAGGTGTTTTTGTGCTCTTCCAACAACATTGTGTGTACAGTATGTGGGTCATTCCACAAAAAGAGTGCCTTTTTGTCACGCCCTGGCTCTGGGGACTCTGAAATGTTGAGCCAGGGTGTGGATTTTCTATGTTTAGTTTCACAGGGTAGCTTCTATGTTGTGTTTTCTATGTTTTGGGTTTTGTTCTAGATCATATAGATCTATGTTGGTCAGGGTGGTTCCCAATCAGAGGCAGCTGTTGCTCGTTGTCTCTGATTGGGAGCCATACTTAGGTAGGCTGTTTTCAGCTATTCTTTGTGGGATCTTGTTCTGATTTGGTTTGTGTTATACCGTAGACGTCACGTTATCGTTGTTGTGTTGATCGTGTGATCATTCTAAATAAATAATATGTTCACCTTCAACGCTGCGCCTTGGTCCGCTTCATCATGTGTCAACGATCGTGACAGAAGATCCCACCTTGACTGGATCAAGCAGCGTGACGAGGAGAGAGGATGGACGTGGGAGGAGATGAGTGCGAGTCTGGCAAGAGGGATGGAGGCCTTGGCCACGGGTAGGAGTGAAGCCCATACATTTTTTAGGGGGGGGGCTAACGCCGTGGACGACGGGGCAGCAGGAGGACGCCAGGTTACGGGAGTCACTGGTCACCAGGGGGAAGGAGGTTGTAGAGGCACGGCGAGAGGTACTGGCGTGTGTTGCCAGTCCGGTCCGGCCTGTTCCTGATCCCCACGTAGGGCCAGTGGTGTGTGTTCCCAGTACGGTCCGGCCTGTTCCTGCCACTCGCACCAAGTCAGTGGTGCGCTTCGTCAGCCCGGCTCGGCCCGTTCCTGCTCCCCGCACCAAGTCAGGGGTGTGCTTCGACAGCCCGGCTCGGCCCGCTCCTGCTCCCCACACCAAGCCAGTGGTGTGCGTCGTCAGTCCGGCTCGGCCCGTTCCTGCTCCCCGCACCAAGTCAGGGGTGCGCTTCGACAGCCCGGCTCGGCCCGCTCCTGCTCCCCACACCAAGCCAGTGGTGTGCGTCGACAGCCCGGCTCGGCCCGCTCCTGCTCCCCAAACCAAGCCAGTGGTGTGCGTCGTCAGTCCGGCTCGGCGCGTTCCTGCTCCCCGCACCAAGTCAGGGGTGCGCTTCGACAGCCCGGCTCGGCCCGCTCCTGCTCCCCACACCAAGCCAGTGGTGTGCGTCGTCAGTCCGGCACGGCCCGTGCCTGTTCCCCGCACCAAGTCAGGGGTGCGCTTCGACAGCCCGGCTCGGCCCGCTCCTGCTCCCCACACCAAGCCAGTGGTGTGCGTCGTCAGTCCGGCACGGCCCGTGCCTGTTCCACCGGTGGCTGGTCCGGCACCGGTCAGATGCTTCACGTCGGAGCTAGAGCAATCCGCTCCACCAGTGTTCAGTCCAGCTCCGGCCAGCAGGGCCAGACCGGACCAGGGGTACTGTGGGGGGTTAGAGAGGGAGTGGGGATCATGCCCAGAGCCGGATCCGCCGCCAAGGCGGAGTGCCCACCCGGTCCCTCCCCTGTGGTGTTCTGTTGGCGCGGTCGGAGTCCGCGCCTTTGGGGGGGGGGTACTGTCACACCCTGGCTCTGGGGACTCTGAAATGTTGAGCCAGGGTGTGGATTTTCTATGTTTAGTTTCACGGGGTAGCTTCTATGTTGTGTTTTCTATGTTTTGGGTTTTGTTCTAGATCATATAGATCTATGTTGGTCAGGGTGGTTCCCAATCAGAGGCAGCTGTTGCTCGTTGTCTCTGATTGGGAGCCATACTTAGGTAGGCTGTTTTCAGCTATTCTTTGTGGGATCTTGTTCTGATTTGGTTTGTGTTATACCGTAGACGTCACGTTATCGTTGTTGTTTTGATCGTGTGATCATTCTAAATAAATAATATGTTCACCTTCAACGCTGCGCCTTGGTCCGCTTCATCATGTGTCAACGATCGTGACACTTTTGCATCCCTTTGATATTGTAAGTAGATTATGTGCACCATTATTGAATTTTAAAAGCCTGTTTTATTAACTTAAGTGCCCTTTAATATAGACCACATGGAGAATTCAATAAATCTGATTTTGTATATGAATAAAGGGGCTTGATCAGCTTGAATATTGCAGATAGATTGTAACTTCCATCAATGTAATTGTCTGCATCACTTCCACTTCCAGCTAGAGCGGTGTTTGTCAGACCATGAGACATCCTGAAAATCAGTCTTCTCAAGAAAACGTCTGTAGCTTCACGAACACGATGGTGTTCTCCGTTTTGCTCTACGACCCCCACAAGTGTCCTGGGATTTCTCTGAAGGAAACCGGTACCAGTTTTGAAAAATTAATGGAAGTATGAAGGTAGTTTTGTGCCTACCCAAGAAAATATGTGTAAAAAAAATAACAACAAATCTTATATCTCCTAGATATATAGGACAGACACTTTAAAACCTTGTGTCTTAAATTCGAAATCAAATAGCTAAATGATCCATAGTATGACCATCTTAAAACAATTCCATATGTCAGCTCAACCTAACGGCTTAGACTTACAGGGGTTAACTACTTGAGATGGGAAAACATCGTTTTTTGTTAAGTTGAACATGTGCTCTTTATGACAATGTAAAAAGTAGCTGCAATCAACTTAGTTTTTTTTAACCAAGTTACACTTCTCAAAAGGCACCAATTTGGTGGAGCGACCCTTGAACTATAGGGTTGCGCAGTCAGCTCGGTGTGTTTGGGCTAGCAGTGTGAGCCCAGCAGGAGCTTTCACATCAAACATCCTGGTAATGGATGAAAAACCCATTTACTTGGGCCAGGGCTCCTAACAAATGGGGGCAATTTACCCAATGCAGTAAAATAGCACGCCGCTCCCCCGGCCGAACCCAGCCCCGTTATTTTATATGAGATGTTAAATGGGGCAAGGGGACATGCGTTGCACATGGTTGGTGTTTGTTTCATGGGAAAGCTGACGAAGGCCTTGAGGCCGATACGTAATGCTTAATAAAGAGCAGTGATACTAGTAAGAGCAGTGTGCGGGTTTCTTATTTTTTCTCAAAGCTGCGAGTGTAAAAGCACTGATTACATGTCAGCGCACGCTTGTAAAAAATAAAAGGGTTAAGGTCTGAAGTGATGTCAGGGGGGCTGGGAAAGACAGACCGATGAGATAGACTGGTGTTGATGGATGATGTCACTACATTCATGTAAAACCTTCAGCCCGATTTGTGTGTGTGTGTGTGCACCATGAGATAGTAGCTAATTGTGGCTGGATCTATCTCAACACACACAAGTAATACTGAAGTAGCAAGGTGAACTTATTAGGTAAACACTTTTATACGCAATGATTCATCTCACATGTAAAAGCTCTTATATGGCCAACAGATGTTGAAGTTTACAGTACAGATAAATGACTCACATTACTGAAACAGCCTGTTACTCCTTCTTTCCACTCTTGTATGGCTAAATGAGAATATATTGCAGTTAAACAATGGCATCACACAAACAACTCAGACAAATAGTTGAATGAGGGTCGGGGCTAACTTATACATGTCGTAGTTTTGATATATCTCTTATTATGTCATAGCGCTCTAGCACTTATACCATTTCTAAAATAAATTATAAGATATAAAATAAAATGAATGTCTAAACACAAAAGTAAATAGAAAAGGAAAGATGGAGTAAGATAGACAAATGGATCACGGACACGTGGAGCTGTGTGACAAATGAAGTTTAATAGGGTTATGGTCATTCAAATAGTTCAGAGTTCAAACAGTCAGATGGTTATATAGGACAAAGTGCAAAACCAGAGCCACTTTTGTGGTCATAAACCACTAAGAACATTAAACAAACCATTCCTCAACGTATACAAATCACCTGGGTTCATCACAGTTCTGGCACGTCTGACACATAATATTGGTGACCAGAGTCATATAGGGATATACCGTCTGTATATGGCTCTGTTGGTGACCTCTTTCTTTCACCAGGATTAGATTTTGGGTTTTAGTTGGACAAGCATTGGGCTATATACCCCATTTCTTCAACACCCTGCTAACACCTTCAATGGGGATTTATCTAGCTGTTATTCTCTTTCTTTCTCTCTCCATCTCATCACTCGTTTCTCTCTGTTAGTTAATTGAGATCAGTGTTACTCAGCTGGGAGAGTAAAAGTGACCTCAGTCTGAGTCATTGACACAATGTCCGAACAGTATCAACTGTCCTGCCCTGACACACACACACACACACACACACAGAGAGAGAGACAAACACACAAACAGACAGGCTCTGGCCCTGGGACAATCACAGATTCAGAGATGCTGGGTGACTGACGGACATACACACAAAGTTCTGGTGGATGGTAGACAGACAGACAGACAGACAGACAGACAGACAGACAGACAGACATACATACAGACATACATACAGAGAGACAGTGGTAAAGAAAGTTGCCCCATGACAGGGAGAGAGGGCAACAAGTGTACTGTGGCAAGGGCTGTGATCCTATTGGCCTGCCGTCAGCGAATGGGAGCGCTGCCCTGAAGCACATGTCACAGAGTGCTAGTTGTGGAGGCAGCCAATCGCTTCCCTATGTAGATCCTGCGAAGGGAGAGAGAAATATACTGTTAATAATGAAGGATAGTAATAACACATAACTATTAACTTTAATCTGCATTTTCAATATGCACATTTACCTCCTTGTTGTATAAAAACAGATTGCTTCCATTAGGAAAGAGATCCATAGTAAAAAGCATCAGGTGCTGGTGGTCATATAATCTTACTACATTACCATTACTAAGACAACCTGCATCTCATTATCTCTTAGTGTCGGTAGCTAAAATGTCCTGTATTTATCTATAATAGTGTGTGTATATGCATTCAACAGTGTGTGTGTGTGTGTGTGTGTGTGTGTGTGTGTGTGTGTGTGTGTGTGTGTGTGTGTGTGTGTGTGTGTGTGTGTCTTACCCCACTCCCAGTGTGAGCAGGTGCGAGGCCAGCAATGAGGGGATGAGGATCATGAGGACGTCAGAGGAGAACAGGCCTCTCTTCATCACCTCACTCTTCCTTACGCTCAGGGAGCCCGACTGCTGCTTCGGGTGCTGGAACACAAACTCCCTGAGTGCAAGAGAGACATAAAGCAGAATCGAGAGAGAGGGAGGAAAAAAGAGAGGGAGATGGAGGGAGGGAGATGGAGAGAGGGGGAGGGAGAAAGGGAGACAAAGAAGATAAAGACAGAAAGAGAACAAGATAAAAACAGGAGAAAGGGGAACATAGAGAGAAAGAAAGGAAGAGAAGGAGAGAAGAAAACACATTTTGTTCCTCAAGATAAAAGGAGATTTCTCAGGAGAAATTCTAGTTGTCATATTTTCTCATTTACAATATATCAAGAAAAGCCCCTGAGATGTTCAGTAGCTCCATAACACAAGAAGAAACATACATGAATGTACATTAGTGTAAAGGGGAAATGAAACTCTGTGGAAGACTATCATCTGTCATGTTTAGGTGTAATATAGAGATATTTGTCATGTTTCAATGTTACTGTACACAGTTTCATTAATAATGACTACATTCCCTATAGCACATCCACAGGCCCCTTACGAGTCAGCGCTTGTTCTAGGCAGCCAAGTACATGTGTAAGTTAATGTGTTTACAGTGAAACTAGGGGTGAAACGATTCACTGAGACATGGTCAATGTAAGGTCAATGGAATTAGAATGAATTAGAATGAGAATCAATTCGGAGTCGTTCCAATTCTATACGTAGGTTCTTACTTTAGTGGAAGGTTCTCTGGCCGACTGGACCAGTCCCATACCCACTCGGAAATGAGCCTCCTCTCCCCTTCTTCTTCAGACTGAGACGGAGAGGGGGAGGAAGAGAGAGGGAAAGAGACGAGAGGGAAAGTGAAATGTCAATTAACAATTACATTTGCCATCATGTTTTGATTAAGAATGCCTCTGCTATGTACAGTGAGGGAAAAAAGTATTTGATCCCCTGCTGATTTTGTACGTTTGCCCACTGACAAAGACATGATCAGTCTATAATTTTAATGGTAGGTTTATTTGAACAGTGAGAGACAGAATAACAACAAAAAAATCCAGAAAAACGCATGTCAAAAATGTTATAAATTGATTTGCATTTTAATGAGAGAAATAAGTATTTGACCCCTCTGCAAAACATGACTTAGTGGCAATCAAAGAGGTCAGACGTTTCTTGTAGTTATATAATATGCCATTTAGCAGACGCTTTTATCCAAAGCGACTTACAGTCATGCGTGCATCCATTATTATTTTTTTGTGTATGGGTGGTCCCGGGGATCGAACCCACTACCTTGGCGTTACAAGCGCCGTGCTCTACCAGCTGAGCTACAGAGGACCACAGGTTTGCACACATCTCAGGAGGGATTTTGTTCCACTCCTCTTTGCAGATCTTCTCCAAGTCATTAAGGTTTCGAGGCTGATGTTTGGCAACTCGAACCTTCAGCTCCCTCCACAGATTTTCTATGGGATTAAGGTCTGGAGACTGGCTAGGCCACTCCAGGACCTTAATGTGCTTCTTCTTGAGCCACTCCTTTGTTGCCTTGGCCGTGTGTTTTGGGCCATTGTCATGCTGGAATACCCATCCCACGACCCATTTTCAATGCCCTGGCTGAGGGAAGGAGGTTCTCACCCAAGATTTGACGGTACATGGCCCCATCCATCGTCCCTTTGATGCAGTGAAGTTGTCCTGTCCCCATAGCAGAAAAACACCCCCAAAGCATAATGTTTCCACCTCCATGTTTGACGGTGGGGATGGTGTTCTTGGGGTCATAGGCAGCATTCCTCCTCCTCCAAACACGGCGAGTTGAGTTGATGCCAATGAGCTCGATTTTGGTCTCATCTGACCACAACACTTTCACCCAGTTCTCCTCTGAATCATTCAGTTGTTCATTGGCAAACTTCAGACGGCCCTGTATATGTGCTTTCTTGAGCAGGGGGACCTTGCGGGCGCTGCAGGATTTCAGTCCTTCACGGCGTAGTGTGTTACCAATTGTTTTCTTGGTGACTATGGTCCCAGCTGCCTTGAGATCATTGACAAGATCCTCCCGTGTAGTTCTGGGCTGATTCCTCACCGTTCTCATGATCATTGCAACTCCACGAGGTGAGATCTTGCATGGAGCCCCAGGCCGAGGGAGATTGACAGTCTTTTGTGTTTCTTCCATTTGCGAATAATCGCACCAACTGTTGTCACCTTCTCACCAAGCTGCTTGGCGATGGTCTTGTAGCCCATTCCAGCCTTGTGTAGGTCTACAATCTTGTCCCTGACACCCTTGGAGAGCTCTTTGGCCATGGTGGAGAGTTTGGAATCTGATTGATTGATTGCTTCTGTGGACAGGTGTCAAGTGTGACGATCTCGGTTCGACAGACGCTGGGAGATGGGAAGCAAGTACAGGGTGATGATTTAATAAATAAAAGACATGGAACAAAACACAGACAGCATCTGGACAGGGGAAATGAAACAACATCAATGCAGACACAGGGATCAAACTGGGGAACAGACAGATATACTGTAGAAGGGGCAATCAACAAAGTGAAGGAGTCCAGGTGAGTCCAATCAGCGCTGATGCGCGTAATGATGGTAACAGGTGTGCGTAATGATGGGCAGCCTGGCGCCATCGAGCGCCAGGGAGGGGAAGCGGGAGCAGGCGTGACAATAAGACTGCTAAACCCTTTTTGCACTAACTTTTTTGAGTCATCATATACGCTGCTGGTACTGTTTATTATCTGTCACTTTATTCCTAGTTATATGTACAAATCTACCTCAACTACCTCGTACCCCTGCACATCGACTCTGTACTGGTACCCCGTGTATAAAGCCAAGTGACTGTTACGCATTGTGTATTTATTATTACTTTTATTATTATGTGTTTTACTTTTATATTATTTCTCTATTTTCTTTCTCTGTTGGGAAGGGGCCGTAAGTAATAATTTCACTGTTAGTCTACACCTATTGTTTACAAAGCATGTGACGAATAATTGGTGTATTTATTTAATTTGATAACACTGACTTGTGTGGTGTTAGAGCTATCTAATAGCAAAGGATTGCTACTGCTACAGTAAAATATGTTATTTGAGTGTTATGTGAGTGCATGTGTGTGTGTTTCGTACCTGTATGGTAACACAGTCTGTACTGCTGCTGCCTTCACTGTGGGGAGGGGAAGTAGTGGTCTGTGGAGGAGTCACCACCAGGGGAGGACTGAACAAAGAGAGCAGGTCAACAGGACTTCTCAGTAACAACACGCACGCATGCACGCACACACACACACACACACACAAACAGAGGGGGAGACAGAGTGTTATTTTTGTTGGTGTAGGCTACTGACCTGTCTTTACTCCTCTCACACTCAAGCTGTGCCTCCAGCAGGATTCTCTCTAGCTCCCCCTGCAGGGCCAAGGAGGCTGTGTCCTGTTGTTGTCCTGTCAGACTCTCCCTGCTGCTCACTGCTGATATCAGCTCCTCCAGCTCCACCCACGAGCCTGTGCGGGGGGTGCGTGTGTTTTTGTGAGAGAGAGAGAGAGAAGAAGGAACAGCACGTCAGAAATCAGCTAAATGTAATTGAAGAATCCATAGAATCTAAACCATTTCTGGGAAAATTGGAACACACTAAACAAACAACAACACAAAGAGTTATCCATCCAAAACGGAGATGTATGGATAAACCACTTCTCCAATCTTTTTGGCTCTATAACAGAGAACATACAGCAAAAACATATACATGATCAATTACAAATCTTCGAATCAGCTATTAAAGACTACCAGAACCCACTGGATTCTCCAATTACATTGAATGAACTACAGAACAAAATACTAACTCTCCAACCCAAAAAGGCCTGTGGTGTTGATGGTATCCTAAATTAAATGATAAAATATTTAGACCACAATTGGGCTATACTTAAACTATTTAACATCATCCTCAGCTCTGGCATCTTCCCCAATATTTGGAACCAAGAACTGATCACCCTAATCCACAAAAGTGGAGACAAATTTGACGCCAATAACTACCGTGGGATATGCGTCAACAGCAACCTTGGGAAAATCCTCCGCATTATCATTAACAGCAGACTTGTACATTTCCTCAGTGAAAACAATGTACTGAGAAAATGTCAAATTGGCTTTTTACCAAATTACCGTACGACAGACCACGTATTCACCCTGCACACTCTAATTGACAAACAAAACAAAAAGTTAAGGCAAAGTCTTGTCTTGCTTTGTTGATTTCAAAAAAGCTTTTGACTCAATTTGGCATTAGGGTCTGCTATACAAATTGATGGAAAGCGGTGTTGGGGGAAAAACATACATTGTAAAATCCATGTACACAAACAACAAGTGTGCGGTTAAAATTGGCAAAAAACACACACATTTCTTTCCACAGGGCCATGGGGTGAGACAGGGATGCAGCTTGAGCCCCACCCTCTTCAACATATATACAGTGGGGGAAAAAAGTATTTAGTCAGCCACCAATTGTGCAAGTTCTCCCACTTAAAAAGATGAGCGAGGCCTGTAATTTTCATCATAGGTACACGTCAACTATGACAGACAAAATGAGGAAAATAAATCCAGAAAATCACATTGTAGGATTTTTTATGAATTTATTTGTAAATTATGGTGGAAAATAAGTATTTGGTCAATAACAAAAGTTTCTCAATACTTTGTTATATACCCTTTGTTGGCAATGACACAGGTCAAACGTTTTCTGTAAGTCTTCACAAGGTTTTCACACACTGTTGTTGGTATTTTGGCCCATTCCTCCATGCAGATCTCCTCTAGAGCAGTGATGTTTTGGGGCTGTCGCTGGGAAACACGGACTTTCAACTCCCTCCAAAGATTTTCTATGGGGTTGAGATCTGGAGACTGGCTAGGCCACTCCAGGACCTTGAAATGCTTCTTACGAAGCCACTCCTTCGTTGCCCGGGCGGTGTGTTTGGGATCATTGTCATGCTGAAAGACCCAGCCATGTTTCATCTTCAATGCCCTTGCTGATGGAAGGAGGTTTTCACTCAAAATCTCACGATACATGGCCCCATTCATTCTTTCCTTTACACGGATCAGTCGTCCTGGTCCCTTTGCAGAAAAACAGCCCCAAAGCATGATGTTTCCACCCCCATGCTTCTGGACATGTACTGGCTTAAGCAGGGGGACACGTCTAGCACTGCAGGATTTGAGTCCCTGGCGGCGTAGTGTGTTACTGATGGTAGGCTTTGTTACTTTGGTCCCAGCTCTCTGCAGGTCATTCACTAGGTCCCCCCGTGTGGTTCTGGGATTTTTGCTCACCGTTCTTGTGATCATTTTGACCCCACGGGGTGAGATCTTGCGTGGAGCCCCAGATCGAGGGAGATTATCAGTGGTCTTGTATGTCTTCCATTTCCTAATAATTGCTCCCACAGTTGATTTCTTCAAACCAAGCTGCTTACCTATTGCAGATTCAGTCTTCCCAGCCTGGTGCAGGTCTACAATTTTGTTTCTGGTGTCCTTTGACAGCTCTTTGGTCTTGGCCATAGTGGAGTTTGGAGTGTGACTGTTTGAGGTTGTGGACAGGTGTCTTTTATACTGATAACAAGTTCAAACAGGTGCCATTAATACAGGTAACGAGTGGAGGACAGAGGAGCCTCTTAAAAAAGAAGTTACAGGTCTGTGAGAGCCAGAAATCTTGCTTGTTTGTAGGTGACCGAATACTTATTTTCCACCATAATTTGCAAATAAATTCATAAAAAATCCTACAATGTGATTTTCTGGAGAAAAAAAATCTCAATTTGTCTGTCATAGTTGACGTGTACCTATGATGAAAATTACAGGCCTCTCTCATCTTTTTAACTGGGAGAACATGCACAATTGGTGGCTGACTAAATACTTTTTTCCCCCACTGTACAGTCCCGGTCAAATGTTTGGACACACCTACTCATTCAAGGGTTTTTCTTAATTTTTTAAAAACTATTTTCTACATTGTAGAATAATAGTGAAGACATCAAAACTATGAAATAACACATATGGCATCATGTAGTAACCAAAAAAGTGTTAAACAAATCAAAATATATTTTATATTTGAGATTCTTCAAATAGCCACCCTTTGCCTTGATGACAGCTTTGCACACTCTTGGCATTCTCTCAACCAGCTTCACCAGGAATGCTTTTCCAACAGTCTTGAAGGAGTTCCCACATATGCTGAGCACTTGTTGGCTGCTTTTCCTTCACTCTGCCGTCCGAATCATCCCAAACTATCTCAATTGGGTTGAGGTCGGGTGATTGTGGAGGCCAGGTCATCTGATGCAGCACTCCATCACTCTCCTTCTTGGTAAAATAGCCCTTACACAGCCTGGAGGTGTGTTGGGTCATTGTCCTATTGAAAAACAAATGATAGTCCCACTAAGCCCGATCCAGATGGGATAGTGTATCACTGCAGAATGCTGTGGTAGCCATGCTGGTTAAGTGTGCCTTGAATTCTAATTAAATCACAGACAGTGTCACCAGCAAAGAACCCACGCACCATAACACCTCCTCCTCCATGCTTTACGGTGGGAACTACACATGCGGAGATCATCTGTTCACCCACACCACGTCTCACAAAGACACGGCGGTTGGAATCAAAAATCTCAAATTTGGACTTCAGACCAAAGGACAAATTTCCACCGGTCCAATGTCCATTGCTCGTGTTTCTTTGCCCAAGCAGGTCTCTTCTTATTATTGGTGTCCTTTAGTAGTGGTTTCTTTGCAGCAATTCAACCATGAAGGCCTGATTCACACAGTCCCCTCTGAACAGTTGATGTTGAGATGTGTCTGTGACTTGAACTCTGTGAAGCATTTATTTGGGCTGCAATTTCTGAGGCTGGTAACTCTAATTAACTTGTCCTCTGCAGCAGAGGTAAATCTGTGTCTTCCATTCCTGTGGCGGTCCTCATGAGAGCCCGTTTCATCATAGCGCTTGATGGTTTTTGCGACTGCACTTGAAGAAACTTTCAAAGTTCTTGAAATTTTCCGGATTGACTGTCCTTCATATCATAAAGTAATGATTGAGCTGTTCTTGCCATAATATGGACTTGGTATTTTACCAAATAGGGCTATGTTCTGTATACCACCCCTACCTTGTCACAACACAACTGATTGCTCAAACGCATTAAGATGGAAGGAAATTCCACAAATTAACTTTTAAGAAGGCACACCTGTTCATTGAAATGTGTTCCACGTGACTACCTCATGAAGCTGGTTGAGAGAATGCCAAGTGTGCAAAGCTGTCATCAAGGAAAAGGGTGGCTATTTGAAGAATCTCAAAAATAAAATATATTTTGATTTGTTTAACACTTTTTTGGTTACTACATGATGCCATATGTGTTATTTCATAGTTTTGATGTCTTCACTATTATTCTATAATGTAGAAAATAGTTTTAAAAAATTAAGTAAAACCCTTGAATGAGTAGGTGTGTCCAAACTTTTGACTGGTAGTGTATCAACGAATTGGCGAGGGCACTAGAACAGTCTGCAGCACCCGGCCTCACCCTACTAGAATCTGAAGTCAAAAGTCTACTGTTTGCTGATGATCTGGTGCTTCTGTCCCCAATCAAGGAGGGCCTACAGCAGCATCTAGATCTTCTGCACAGATTCTATCAGACCTGGGCCCTGACAGTAAATCTCAGTAAGACAAAAATAATGGTATTCCAAAAAAGGTCCAGTTGCCAAGACCACATTCCATCTAGACACCGTTGTCCTAGAGCACACAAAAAACTATACCTACCTCAGCCTAAACATCAGCACCACAGGTAACTTCCACAAAGCTGTGAATGATCTTAGAGACAAGGTAAGAAGGGCCTTCTACGCCATCAAAAGGAACATACAATTCGATATCCCAATTAGGATCTGGCTAAAAATACTTGAATCAGTTATAGAACCCGTTGCCCTTTATGGTTGTGAGGTCTGGGGTCCACTCACCAACCAACAATTCACAAAATGGGACAAACACCAAATTGAGACTCTGCATGCAGAATTCTGCAAAAACATCCTCCGTGTACAACGTAAAACACCAAATAATGCATGCAGAGCAGAATTAGGCCGATACCCGCTGATGATCAAAATCCAGAAAAGAGCTGTTAAATTCTACAACCACCTAAAAGGAAGTGATTCCCAAACCTTCCATAACAAAGCCATCACCTACAGAGAGATTAACCTAGAGAAGAGTCCCCTAAGCAAGCTGGTCCTGGGGCTCTGTTCACAAACACAAACAGACCCCACAGAGCCCCAGGACAGCCCCACAATTACATGTAACCAAATCATGAGAAAACACATTGGAAAGAATTAACCAAAAAACAGAACAAACTGGAATGCTATTTGGCCCTAAACAGAGAGTGCACAGTGACAGAATACCTGACCACTGTGACTGACCCAAAATTAAGGAAAGCTTTGACTATGTACACTATGTACAGACTCAGTGAACATAGCCTTGCTATTGAGAGAGGCCGCCGTAGGCAGACCTGTCTCTCAAGAGAAGACAGGCTATGTGCACACTGCCCACAAAATGAGGTAGAAACTGAGCTGCACTTCCTAACATCCTGCCAAATGTATGACCATATTAGAGACACATATTTCCCTCAGATTACACAGACCCACAAAGAATTTGAAAACAAATCCAATTTTGATAACTCCCACAGTGTGCCATCACAGCAGCAAGATTTGTGACCTGTTGCCACAAGAAAAGGGCAACCAGTGAAGAACAAACACCATTGTAAATACAACCCATATTTATGTTTATTTATTTTCCCTTTTGTACTTTAACTATTTGCACATCGTTATAACACTGTACATAGCCATAATATTACATTTGAAATGTCTCTGTTCCTCTGAAACTTTTGTGAGTGTAATGTTTACTGTTAATTTTGATTGTTTATTTAACTTTTGTTTATTATCTATTTCACTTGCTTTGGCAATGTAAACATATGTTTCCCATGCAAATACAGCCCTTTGAATTGAATTTAATTGAGACATGCAACTTCTCAGTAATGTTGCAACTGAGAGCTGAGCTAATTCTGGAACATTCCATAGTTTACATTTCAGTTAATCTTATTAAATCATATTCAATCTCCCGGAATAACTTTACTAAAGCCTGATTCTGGAAGGCTAAACCAGGAGGAAGGCTAAACCAACACTGCCTATCAGCCAGAAGCCATGCAGGTGAAATGATACAGCATGAACAGACAAAAAATAGATTACAATTGTCTGTTGTTGCTCAATCACTACAGTAGATAACCTAATGTTAGGACACGTAATGCAGAGGGACTACTACAAAGCAGGATCAATGAGTTAGCCAGCTAACTTGCCTAAATATATATATTTTTTTTGTTGAAAGATAAGCTTGAAATGGGCGTGGTCTAATTGACAACAACACATATCTAAGTTTAGCTTTGGTAAGGAACCAGAAAATCAATAGTTATTTCTGATGTTTTATCAAATTTAGCTGGCTAACTCATTGATCCTGCTTTTTAGTATATCCCTCAGGTCTGTGTTGTTGTTGTTGTTGTTGTTGTTGGACGTGGCATACAGTGGGGAAAAAAAAGTATTTAGTCAGCCACCAATTGTGCAAGTTCTCCCAGTTAAAAAGATGAGAGAGGCCTGTAATTTTCATCATAGGTACACGTCAACTACGACAGACAAAATGAGGAAAAAAAATCCAGAAAATCACATTGTAGGATTTTTTATGAATTTATTTGCAAATTATGGTGGAAAATAAGTATTTGATCACCTACAAACAAGCAAGATTTCTGGCTCTCACAGACCTGTAACTTCTTCTTTAAGAGGCTCCTCTGTCCTCCACTCATTACCTGTATTAATGGCACCTGTTTGAACTTATTATCAGTATAAAAGACACCTGTCCACAACCTCAAACAGTCACACTCCAAACTCCACTATGGCCAAGACCAAAGAGCTGTCAAAGGACACCAGAAACAAATTTGTAGACCTGCACCAGGCTGGGAAGACTGAATCTGCAATAGGTAAGCAGCTTGGTTTGAAGAAATCAACTGTGGGAGCAATTATTAGGAAATGGAAGACATACAACAAGACCACTGATAATCTCCCTCGATCTGGGGCTCCACGCAAGATCTTACCCCGTGGGGTCAAAATGATCACAAGAACGGTGAGCAAAAATCCCAGAACCACACGGGGGGACCTAGTGAATGACCTGCAGAGAGCTGGGACCAAAGTAACAAAGCCTACCATCAGTAACACACTACGCCGCCAGGGACTCAAATCCTGCAGTGCCAGACGTGTCCCCCTGCTTAAGCCAGTACATGTCCAGGCCCGTCTGAAGTTTCCTAGAGTGCATTTGGATGATCCAGAAGAGGATTGGGAGAATGTCATATGGTCAGATGAAACCAAAATAGAACTTTTTGGTAAAAACTCAACTCGTCGTGTTTGGAGGACAGAGAATGCTGAGTTGCATCCAAAGAACACCATACCTACTGTGAAGCATGGGGGTGGAAACATCATGCTTTGGGGCTGTTTTTCTGCAAAGGGACCAGGACAACTGATCCGTGTAAAGGAAAGAATGAATGGGGCCATGTATCGTGAGATTTTGAGTGAAAACCTCCTTCCATCAGCAAGGGCATTGAAGATGAAACGTGGCTGGGTCTTTCAGCATGACAATGATCCCAAACACACCGCCCGGGCAACGAAGGAGTGGCTTCGTAAGAAGCATTTCAAGGTCCTGGAGTGGCCTAGCCAGTCTCCAGATCTCAACCCCATAGAAAATCTTTGGAGGGAGTTGAAAGTCTGTGTTGCCCACTGACAGCCCCAAAACATCACTGCTCTAGAGGAGATCTGCATGGAGGAATGGGCCAAAATACCAGCAACAGTGTGTGAAAACCTTGTGAAGACTTACAGAAAACGTTTGACCTGTGTCATTGCCAACAAAGGGTATATAACAAAGTATTGAGAAACTTTTGTTATTGACCAAATACTTATTTTCCACCATAATTTGCAAATAAATTCATAAAAAATCCTACAATGTGATTTTCTGGATTTTTTTTTCTAATTTTGTCTGTCATAGTTGACGTGTACCGATGATGAAAATTACAGGCCTCTCTCATCTTTTTAAGTGGGAGAACTTGCACAATTGGTGGCTGACTAAATACTTTTTTTCCCCACTGTAGGTATGCTGTCTCATTTAAAGTTGCAATCCAGGATCTTAAGCACAACAAATTCGTAACTTTTTTTTTGTAGGATGTAACATATCATACGAAAGGGATGACGAAGCATTCAATTTTATGACGTAGTACACAAAAAACGGAGACCACTTTTGGCTTGTGAGCAACACTTTCAAAACTACTGGCTGAAATTATACAGAAGTTCAAGAGTGCATCTATAAGCAGACAGGACATCTCATTCCTGACATAGTATTAGACAACACCCAATGACTTGCTGACATAAGGACATTTGTAACAGTGAATGTTGTGTTTCCCCTGGTCCCTAGTTTAGCTAGAGTGTAACACACACAAACAAACAGTACCAACCACTGACAGAGTGCTTATGTAAGATCTTATTTATGTATGAGATTAGCCACCCTTTACTTTCATTTTAGTCATTTAGCAGACGCTCTTATCCAGAGCGACTTACAGTTAGTGAGCGCATACATTTTTCATACTGGCCCCCCGTGGGAATTGAACCCACAACCTCGGCGTTGCAAACGCCATGCTCTACCAACTGAGCTACACGGGACCTCCTCTCTCATTCTATCTCTTTCCTCTCCTCTCTCATTCTATCTCTTTACTCTCCTCTCTCATTCTATCTCTTTACTCTCCTCTCTCATTCTATCTCTTTCTCTCTCTCTCTGGAATGCAATGCATGCAAACATCATCACCTGCTCTCCTCATCAAAACATCCTCTCATCCCCTCTTTTTGTCTCTTCCCCTTTATTATTTGCTTTAGGGAAGTGAGAGATCATGTAAACAGCAACAGTGGAGAGGGCATTGGAGTAGAGGAGAGAGGAGAGGGGGGTGGGGATGGGGAAGGGAGGGCAGAGGGCAAACTGTGCCATTGCCCTAGTTTGCCAGCCTTCTCTCTCTCTCTCTCTCTCTCTCTCTCTCTCTCTCTCTCTCTCTCTCTCTCTCTCTCTCTCTCTGTGGCCTTGACCAGGCTGCACTGCAGCAGCACCCAATGTCTGTCAATAGTCCAGTATCCTTCCATAGAAGTAGTGCCAATCAGGTGTATGTAAATGTGTGTTAATATAGGCCTAGTTCTTGAAGCACAGATGTGTTGCTGTGCCAAAGCTTTGTGTATATGTCCTAGTTGTGATACTATGAAAGCTATACAACAGCCCCATGCACTGTAGAGGCTATAAGCAAACTGTACAGTGAGCTATAAGCTTCAGGTAAATCTCCTGGGCTTAATTGGCTTAGTGAGATACAAACAGGTGAGTCATGAAATCCGTTTACACAATGACCATGTCAGTGGCAACAACAATGATAACTTCAAACTGGATGCTTACATTTCTCTCCCTAACATGTCCATTTTCTCAAATCTTAAGTCCACCTTATCCATGCATTATGTCATGGATAATGGTTATATAAATAAATGTTGTCCATTAATTAATTAAAATGTGATAAACAAACTTATTCTGATGAAAGAGGACACTGTTCATGCATCATTAATTGATTGTCACAAAAAATAAGCATTATAGGCCTAATGAGGATGAACATAATAATTTATACATCAATAATGTTATTTTCCTGATGGACCCCTCTTGGAATTATTTATTTAAATGTTAACCTAGAAAAACTGTTGAACATAGTTTATCCCTATCATAGGGCAGTTACAAGGATTTTATAAACATTTCATAGCAGCTATTACCGCACAAATAAATCATACTTGACCCGACTTTGCATTGACCCAATAACAACAGATCCATCCCCCAAACCCTTACCGTACAAGCCGTCCTCTGGAGTCTGCGAGCCTGACAGAGACATGGTTAGTGGCCGAAGGATGATTTCAGTTCGGAGAGAGATTCTGGCACTGACAAACACGAACAATGAGGAGAAAACTGTGTATTATAAACTGCCTATGTGGCTTTCTCATTAACTGTTGTTGCCTTAGCCCTAGACTGTGATGTTCAGCGCGCGGTAATCCGCGAGCACTCCCTCCCTCCCCACGTGCAGGGCAGGTCGAGGTAAACAAAACAGACTGAAGCTCAACAGTATTTTAAGATCCATACAGCAGTTTAAACTAGCTGACAACACTTGTATAGTAGATTAGATTACAATAGATAATGTAACCCCCCCCCCCCCTTCAACTCCATGAACATTTGAAATGAATTTAAATAGCCTACATATTGGAAAATGATCGTTCTTTGCAAATCCAGGCAATGTTTTTAAATGTTTATTTCACACAATAATATGTGTACCCCACTTAAACTATTTTTCGTCTTTAATTCGTTGCATCAAATGAAGGGCTTGTGAGTTGTTGTGACAGCTTGTGGTGGATGGACAGTGACTCATCTATTCCATTCCATTGAGAAGAACCCCGGCAACTAGTGACATCAGCACTCCGCAGGCTCAGGCTCATTCTGCCTATGAAGTAAGTGCATGTTGTTGTGTACATAGAGATACCACGGCACAAGGGCATGGGTGCCATGACGCACAGTCGCTCCTCTGATTCCATGTTTTTGCACTTTCCTTCTCATCATTGTCCTCTTCAAAGACACACACACACACAGAGTGGGGGATGGAGGGATGAATATCAATAGATGAAAGACATCTCTAGTGTGGAGAGTAGAAATATTGATTATATAGGCTATTATGCACCTCTTCAGTTGATGTTGTTGATGTTGCTTTGTGTCGGTTATACAACTGGTTGTCCTGCTCTTTATAGGCAACACTGCCACCTGGCGGTCACAGCTATTAAAGATAACTACAGTATGTACCTATTACTGCAGGCCTACATTAGGCTACGGCTTTCACACCTAGCCAGGCCTATAGAATACTGTACTAATATTTAACATTTCTGTGCAATCAGACACTTTTACTACTGCATTAGTATTACATTTTTATGAACAATGCAATTTGTATTGATTCAAATACAGCAGTCATAAGTGATAAAGCTGTCATAGTCACACAAGGCCTCATAGCTAAATGCTGAAGAATCAGTCCTTCTCCCATTATGGTGCTTTGCTTTCTGTCTCTGGCCAACCCTTCAGGCCCTTAAAACCCTGGCGCCCACGATCCACAAGTTACCCCGTGCCAAGACTAGGCCTATGATATTGGCTTTCACAAACTATTCCTTTGCCCATTTTCTCCCCCCCTTCTATTGGTTTAGCTTTGTTTCTCATCTCATTTGACCTCCCGTTCTGTCCCGTTCTGCCCTGAGAAAGTAATTATGAGATACAATCGTACAGAAACCCAGAAGTTACCGATTTATCAAAGCAGCTTAAGATATCTGTGACAATGATCCTTCTTAGACCACGTCTCTGTGACATAGAAGATGAGGTGCGTTCTGGGAAGCCACGCTCTTAAGAGTCCAGCAAATGACCGTCTGTGGTGCTAGTCCATCATGCTTTACGTTCGCAAATAGCGAAATAATACAACCTCTTCAGGTAATGGCTACGGTTAGATCCTCCCATTAGACAATGTCCCCGATTCTACAAGACTGCATTAGGAGATGATTGATGACTTGATCTGAGTCGGCACTAAAGGCTTCTGCTTAAAATTCGCTTTTGTAGCCGGCCAGACGTGACTTGCTTGATTAATGAACGCCAGAACTAGTTGTGTTCCTCCGTTGGCTCCCGTGGACCCTGTGAAAACAGGATCTGATTGGCTGCCCCGCCCAGCCCGTTTGGATTAGCGTGATAAATAATAATTACAGTTCCTGGTCTCGCCCCTAGAGGACGGATGGCTATTGACTTATAGAGGGATCACGGCTCAACACTTCACAATGGTTCTGTATAAGTAAACAACTGTTCACACTTCTAGATGTGTTTAATGAATTGAGGGACATGACTACTGTCAGGGCCTGTTTTTACTTAATAACTGTCTCATATCCACCGAGGATGAGTTCCAGGAGTTTCATGTTAATTAAGTATTAGTGGCTGTCATCTTCTCCCCACCTCCACCGTTGACACTTATACACGTATTTACCATAGCCCATAATGTTATTCATAGTCTTTGGTGGATCTTTAATCAATGAGCCTGTTTTTCCTCTGCCGTTTCAATTGTACTTTTGAGGCTGAAAGTAGAGCAACTGAGCAATAATAGGAGGTACAGAGAGAGAGAGCGATGAGATAAGACAAGATAAGTAATCAGGGTTGATAAAATGGGATGAGATCTGTCAACCCTCCTTCACTCCCCTCTGCCCCCCCCAGGCATTTACCTTATCTCTCCATCCCCCCAGCCAGCCCCACTATACTAGGTGGTTGACACTAGCCTGAGGTGATAAGTACTGCAGGAATGATGATACAGTCGCAACAATACAAGAAGAAAATTGCCTGAATCAATTGGTTCTAGTCAATGGACTACATCATATACTCTCTTTCATGTAAAACAGAGAGAGAGAGAGAGCAACAACCTGAGCGTGACAGAATTAAACAACATATTAGATGTATTCACAGTGCACTTCTTAATTTGCACACAAACACACACATACAGGGAATGTGAAAATGTGTGTGGCAGTGCAGTCACACACGTACACATAGAGTACACACACACACACAAAGAAATACACACATGCGCACACACACGTGCACACAAGAACGCACACACACACACACACAAAGACCTCGGCATAAATTGCCCAAAAAAAAGGCCAAATTAATCTATGAATCATCACTGGGATAAAACTGCTTATACAGTAGTTTTTTCTGATTAACATCAAGGTGATTTGGAACATATTTCTACTGTAGATACTGTATCCATACAGAACAGCTGTTTAACCTTCTATTTTAACCATGTGTATGGCTATGAATAGAATTCTAGGGAATCTATTTCTAGGGGAATATTTCTATGGTGCTTTACCCATATGCACTCTCTCCATTGTTCCCCTCATCATGATTCTCTGGTTGTGCTTCTTCTGTTCATATTATGAGCAACATAAATCTGTCTGTTCTCATCCCTCTTCTCTGCTCCCCCTCTCTGCCCTTCTTCCAGCCCTCCACAGCTGACACTGGTGTCCGGTTATACCTCCTTCCTTTTTCCCACCTCACACACCAGGGTTCCCCCACCCCCACCTCCCTCTCTCCCTCTCTCTCTATCCCCATCCCCTAGTGACTCCCCGTTCCCTCTCTGTCCATTGGTTCCGCCCCCTAGATCACTTCACTCCTTCACTCGGCTCTCTCCCTCGCTCCCTCTCTCAGCAGCTGTACATACTCTGCTTTTTAATTAGACAGAGAGACACACACAAGCTCCACCTTCTCCTGCCTCCTACTCTCTCTCCCCATCCCTCACTCCACCCTCTCTCCCTCCCTCCCTCTCTCTTCCTTTCTCCCTCCCTCCACTGACAAGCATACAAGACGTGTGCGGCGTCACTGAGAGGGAAAGAGAGGTCAGAGAGGGAGAGAGAAAGAGAGCGATCGAGAGAAAGAGAGAGGGAGTCAGAAAGAGAGGGAGCGAACTGAACGGAGCATCTAAGAGGATAATTGCCTGTTTGTTCACTGTGTCTCTAGTCCTGCTCTCCCTCCCATTCTGTCTCACACACATGCCTGCACACACACTCTCAGACACACACACACACACACACACACACACGCTGACAGTCACCTGCAAAGCCACAGTGCTCAGGCTGGGAGATGAAGAGGCTCACAGTTGAGGAGATGAATTTGGGGAAAAGAGAGTGAAACAGAGGGCACAGCAGAGGAAGAGAGAGAGATAGAGAGAGAGAGAGAGAGAGAGAGAGAGAGAGAGAGAGGGACAGATGGAGTACTCACTGATTATACTAGGGAACGGAGGAACAGAGCACACCAAGCAGCAGTGAAAGAGAGGAGTGAAAGAAAGAAAGGAAGAAAAAACTGGAGCGATGTGAAAATGAAAGAATACCAAGGAACAACAAACAGCGAGGAGGAAAGAAGAGAAGAAGAAGAAGCATATGAGTGAAACAGAAAAGTGAAGAGAAGAAGAGGTGGTGTGTATGACTCCTCTGTTCAGTGTCCTGAAGGATATACCGAGCATCACTTTACTTCTACCCAAACAGCCCACAACAGAGGGAGAGGAAGACTAGTCCCAAGAGAGGACGACTAGTCCCATGAGAGGAGAAAAAAAAAAAGATAATCGGAGGGCAGGTGTAAAAGAGTGAGATAAGGGATACATGCTCTTGGTTGGTGCAGTGGATTAACTGGTGAGTAATTGGTTTCTACTTGTTTTGACATGTTTATCCTTCTCTTCCTTTCTACTCAGGTGTGTAACCTTATCACAACCATGGTTAGAATTGACTGGGAGAAAAAGCTGTGGTGTGTGTGTTCTGTGTGTGTGTGTATGTGTGAGCGTGTGCTTGCTTGTGTGTGTGTGGTTGAGTGCATATGCTTCTGTGTGCGTGTATTTGTGTGTGTATGTTTGAGCGTGCGCTTGCATGTGTGTGTAGGTGCTCATGCTTGTGTGTGTGTGTTTGAGTGCATATGCATGTGCGTGTGTGCGTGTTGGGATGTGCTTTACAGCAGGTGTGGGAGTTGTGTGTGAGAATGCGCATCTTTATGAGCAGCTTTAAAGACCAAGGGGCTTAAATTGGGTCGTCAGAGATGCAGGTTTGCAGATTGAAGCAGAATGCTATCAGTGCATATTTCCAATGAGTAAGAATGTGTGGGATTGTACGTCACAGGAGGCTGGTGGCACCTTAATAGGGGAGAACGGGCTCGTGGTAATAGCTGGAGTGTATGGATGAGATGAGAGCACGAGTGTACACTGTGTGCCTCATGCGATACATGCCTTTGTGTGTGTACTGTATGTTACCTTTTTTTTTACAGTGTGTGTTGTCATTGCACTCATATGGTAAATAGAGTACATAGGTTACACAGGTTTTTTTTTTTCATGTTAACAATATCATGCTCACACTCACTCAAACATGAACATGCTCGTTCGCACACACCAACGTACACCACACCACACCACACCACACCACACCACACCACACCACACCACACCACACCACACCACACCACACCACACCACACCTGGGGCAGCAGGTAGCTTAGTGGTTAAGAGCATTGTGCCAGTAATCAAAAGGTCGCTGGTTCTAATCCCCAAGCTGACTAGGTGAAAAAACTGTTGATGTGCCCTTGAGCAAGGCACTTAACCCTAATTGCTCTGGATAAGAGCGTCTGCTAAATGACTAAAATGTACACTACTCTACACTCTTACCCCCTTGCTTCGTCTTTGTAGAAACACTGTGCTGTTAGCGCTGTCTGTCAACCTGCTCCTTGTCTTTTTCCTCTCACGTTTATCTCATCACTGTGCATTTCTAGGGGCCAGTTTAGGCTCCGTGCCAGAAATGTAACCTTGCTGTTTCCGCCATCTCACCATCTCTCTCTGTCTCTACCTCCCTGTCTCTTCCTTTAGATATCTCGCTTCATCCACTTCACCCATCCCTTACGCTCCCTTCATTTCTCCATCTCTTTCATACTCAACCTTTCTTTCTCCCCGGTTATACATCTCTACCTTCTTGCCCTTTGTGCTGTTGTCTATGCCCAATCATGTTTGTACCATGTTTTGTGCTGCTACCATGTTGTGCTGCTGCCATGTTGTGTTGCTACCATGTTGTTGTCATGTTGTGTTGCTACCATGCTGTGTTGTCATGTGTTGCTGCCATGCTATGTTGTTGTCTTAGGTCTCTCTTTAGTGTTGTGGTGTCTCTCTTGTCGTGTGTTTTGTCCTAAATATATATATTTGTTATTCCAGCCCCGTCCCCGCAGGAGGCCTTTTGCCTTTTGGTAGGCCGTCATTGTAAATAAGAATTTGTTCTTAACTGACTTGCCTAGTTAATTAAAGGTTAAATAAAAATAAAATAAAATACATCCCCTTCATTTTGAGGATGTGGTGTCAACTTACTCTGTAAAATAAGGGTTAGATTAAAGTGATGGTCTGATAGCCCAACCATCCAACTTTATTGTCCAGGTGTCTTAGATGTGATCAGGATGAGCTTTCCTATTACTGGAATACAGTGATGTGCTCTTGGGACATTGGGCCAGACAGGGACATTGCAGCACAACAGCTTGCCAGCCCTCAGAAGGACTCCCTAGGGAGTGTATGTACATAGTGTGCCATGGCCTGGACAGTGTAGCCCTATCACCTGTTCCCATGCTATTCAGCCCTTTGAAACTACGCCACCGCAACCACCTGGCATGGGTCACAAAATGTGACTTTACTTCCTTAATTTTCCCACTTGGGAGACATATCAGTGGAAAACAGGACTGATCCAGTGGGTGAAATTTGGCACGAGGCCATGACGACGTAATATTCTGGTTGTACGTTTTTTAGTTGAGAAGACATTAAATAACCAGATTACAACTAAACAGTCTCTGTTGCTGCCAGATAAAAACTTATTTTTTCATGATGCCATCAAGGTACCCAGATTACAACCAGATAAAGACATATTTTTCAGGTTGCTAAAAAGAATTTCACAAAATCAAATTTTCCAACTAGTGTACAACTTGACCACAACGTAAAAATAATAATAATTGCAACCAGTTTGCCAGCTGTTGAACGTCTCATATTGTTGATCCCCTTGAATTAGCTTCCTGAAGATGGTAATGTGGTATCACTGGCACTTCTCACTGACCTAAGAGAGCAAGCTGCTGTCCTACATCCTTCTCTGGTAGTGGATTTGGGTCAAGATAGCACAGACGGAACAAATCATTTATGACACTCATTGGAAAAGTTGTGAGTAATCCGGCTAGCGGCTAACTTCAAGCTGGGAGGTAGTTTGTTGAAAATTGAGATAGCCTGGAGTCATGAATAACCTTGCCTTAAACCCAAAGACTCACTCAGCCTCAAGGAGGTAATACCCAGGCTTTTTCTTCGGAATCCAACACAGATTTGTGGTGCACTGAAGACTTTGATTTAATATGCTAGCGGTAACATTAGCTAGCTAGCAGCAGGATTAGCTGTAACCTAGCTAGCCACGAAGTAATAAGCTAATAAGCGCAAATGCACTAACGAGCAAACCTGCTGATTCAATTTGCTGGTCATTAATGTACAGTGATTGTCTTATTTTTTTGTCTAATAATGATAAAATACATATTTTATTAATAGCCTATAGATCCTCAAAGCTCTTTCCAGGCAGTCAAAAAAAACAGAAAAACAACAACATTATGATCTCAGCAAGCTTTCACAACATCTAACAGACCATGCAGTAGGCTCAAAGTATACATCCTTAACTGTTACGTTGCTATAGCCGATGGCTATCCAGCTTTAGATTTGTATTGTAATGTGATCTGGCACCTGTGAAAACATATTGTTCTGTGAATGGCTATCTGAACTACAGTCGTGGTCAAAAGTTTTGAGAATGACACAAATATTGGTCTTCACAAAGTTCGCTGCTTCAGTGTTATGAGATATTTTTGTCAGATGTTACTATGGTATACTGAAGTATAATTACAAGCATTCCATAAGTGTCAAAGGCTTTTATTGACAATTACATTAAGTTTATGCAAAGAGTCAATATTTGCAGTGTTGACCCTTCTTTTTCAAGACCTCTGCAATCCGCCCTGGCATGCTGTCAATTAACTTCTGGGCCACATCCTGACTGATGGCAGCCCATTCTTGCATAATCAATGCTTGGAGTATGTCAGAATTTGTGGGGTTTTGTTTGTCCACCCGCCTCTTGAGGATCGACCACAAGTTCTCAATGGGATTAAGGTCTGGGGAGTTTCCTGGCCATGGACCCAAAATGTAGATGTTTTGTTCCCCGAGCCACTTAGTTATCACTTTTGCCTTATGGCAAGGTGCTCCATCATGCTGGAAAAGGCATTGGTTGTCACCAAACTGTTCTTGGATGGTTGGGAGAAGTTGCTCTCGGAGGATGTGTTGGTACCATTCGTTATTCATGGCTGTGTTCTTAGGCAAAATTGTGAGTGAGTCCACTCACTTGGCTGAGAAGCAACCCCACACATGAATGGTCTCAGGATGCTTTACTGTTGGCATGACACAGGACTGATGGTAGCGCTGTCTTCTCCAGACAAGGTGTTTTCCGGATGCCCCAAACAATCGGAAAGGGGATTCATCAGAGAAAATGACTTTACCCCAGTCCTCAGCAGTCCAATCCCTGTACCTTTTGCAGAATATCTGTCTGCCCCTGATGTTTTTCCTGGAGAGAAGTGGCTTCTTTGCTGCCCTTCTTGACACCAGGTCATCCTCCAAAAGTCTTCACCTCACTGTGCGTGCAGATGCACTCACACCTGCCTGCTGCTATTCCTGAGCAAGCTCTGCACTGGTGGTGCCCCGATCCCGCAGCTGAATCAACTTTAGGAGACGGTCCTGGCGCTTGCTGGACTTTCTTGGGTGCCCTGACGCCTTCTTCACAACAATTGAACCTCTCTCCTTGAAGTTCTTGATGATCCGATAAATGGTTGATTTAGGTGCAATCTTACTAGCAGCAATATCCTTGCCTGTGAAGCCCTTTTTGTGCAAAGCAATGATGACGGCACACATTTCCTTGCAGGTAACCATGGTTAACAGAGGAAGAACAATGATTTCATGCACCACCCTCCTTTTAAAGCTTCCAGTCTGTTATTCTAACTCAATCAGCATGACAGAGTGATCTCCAGTCTCGTCAACACTCTCACCTGTGTTAATGAGAGAATCACTGACATGATGGCAGCTGGTACTTTTGTGGCAGGTCTGAAATGCAGTGGAAATGTTTTTTGGGGATTAAGTTCATTTTCATGGCAAAGAGGGACTTTGCAATTAATTGCAATTCATCTGATCACTCTTCATGACATTCTGGAGTATATGCAAATTGCCATCATCAAAATTGAGGCAGCAGACTTTGTGAAAATTAGTATTTGTGTCATTCTCAAAACTTTTGACCACGACTGTATGTGCGTATGGGGTCATGTCCTGTCAGCCTACTTATTAGAGGGTTGGGCTCAGCTCTAGCCTGGAGTCTTATTTAGTCTTGTTCACTGTACCACAGCTAATATGTTACACACAGTCTCAACTACATCTACTGAAGGATTTATGGAATATATTTGATCTATTCTCGATGGGCTGATATGTGTGTGTTTGTACATGTGTGTTTCCTGGGTCATTATAAAACGTAATGAAATATTTTCCCACGAGAAACTTCTGTAGCGAGAACCTTAATCTACTTCATAAATTACAGCTATGAACACACGTAATGCAATATGCACCTACCTAGAGGCTGCTCCTAGGAGGTGTGTACCGAATTGGACTCTCTCCCTTTCTCCTCTCACACAACATTAAACACACCACTATTACCTCTGTTCTGCCTGCCCACAGAAATATAACCACAGGATAAAGCATCACTATTGCTTTGTGCCTTGCTGTATATATTGTTCAGTCAGCTCCCCGCTCTAAAATCCAATCCCCTTGGCTGTGCAGGTATCTCTTCACTCTCTCCCCTGGCTCCGAGGACCAATAACTGATCAAATACCTTTTCTTAGTTCCTCTCCAGTTCCTCCTTTAACACCCTGATACGCTGATGTTCCTGATCTACCACTTCACTGAACCCTAACCATGACATTTCCCCTCCTCCCCTGAGAGGGGGTCCCTCCCTCCCTCCCTCCCTCCCTCCCTCCCTCCCTCCCTACCTCCCTCTACCACAGCTATGTGTCTCATGATCTTTCTCTCCTTCTCTTCTCTCTCTAAATATATCCATCCATGTGTACCTACCTCCCCCACCCCCCACCCTCTACCCCTTCCCCTGTTGGTGCCTGTGCGTGTACACAGTCATGTCGGATAAAGTTAGCCATGCCCAGACAATCCAATCTGACATGCCTTTACATAACAATTCAATCTGCAGCACTCTGCCTGCCTCCCCCTCAACAAACACACACACAAACACACACAGAGCGCAAAACTCCAAGGTGCTTTATTGGCATAATGTGTAACATCACGAGAAATCAAATATGTGATATATAATACAAGACTTAGCCTCCATCTCCTATTTATCACTGTTATATCCTGTATATATGTATCATTGGTCTCTCAATGTCAACATGGCTAAGTAAGCACAGAGATCAAACATGACGTTATTCCGTTGCACACCTTCACTTCTCATGCCTGCTGATTTATCTGTTGTCTGTCAATAAAGCTTAACATGGAAATGTCACATGAGGAAAGGCTGGGCCTCAGCCCCAAGAGTGTGCCGAGCATTAAGAAGCACTGGATTCATTAAACCGTCTGCGTAAATCTTGATCTCAGGGCAGTTTGCAGACTGAGTGGGAGGAGAGAAAGGGAGAGATGGAGAAAGAGAGAGGGGGTGGGAAGACAGAGGGTGCAGAGGAGGGAGAGAGATAGGAAGGGAGATGGAGAGGGGGAGAGGAGAGAGAGAGAAAGAAAGGGAGAGGGTGGATGGGAGTTTAAAAAAGGAAAAAAGGGGTGGTAGATGAAAGAAAGATAAGGAGCGGGTGGAATTGGGTTGACATGGAGGAGAATGAGAGGAGGGTAATGGTCCTGCAACGAGTGGAACTTGGGAAATCTGTCAGGGTGAAGGGTGAAAGGAAAACACTCTTCATTTTACATTTTAGTCATTTAGCAGACGCTCTTATCCAGAGCGCTTTCTTGGAGAAAGGGAAGATTGAGGAGAGAGAGAGAAAAATTGAGTTTGGAAGAGGAGAAGGAGAAATGGGGAGGATGACTATCAAGGTTAAGAAATAGTGTTGATAAGATTTTGACCATAAAGAGGAAGAAAATACAGCTGTATTATAGACACCACTGAGTTACAGTATTTCAAGGTTGCAATGATCGTGTTTCATTCATAAAGGCGCGTCCACATTTAGCACGATAATATATAATAATTATAATAACAATAAGTGTCATTTAGCAGACACTTCTATCCAAATTGACTTATGCATTATTTACATATGAGTGGTCCCGGGAATCGAACCCACTATCCTGGAGTTGCAAGTGCCATGCTTGACTATCTGATCTATAGCACAATAACTAATACAACAAACATCATTATAATTCAAGCGAATGACTGTCTGTCCTCCCACTACATTGTTTCAATGTTGCGATGATCATTAATCATTTACACTGAACAAAAAATATAAATAACATGCAATTTCAAATATTTTACTGCGTTACAGTTCATATAAGGAAATCAGTCAATTGAAATAAATAAATTAGGCCCTAATATATAGATTTCACATGGCTGGGAATACAGATATGCATCTGTTGGTCACAGATACCTTAACAATAAGGTAGGGGCGTGGATCAGAAAACCAGTCAATATCTGGTGTGACCACCATTTGCCTCATGCAGCGCGACACATCTCCTTAACATAGAGTTGGTCAGGCTGTTGATTGCAATTGGCATGCTGACTGCAGGAGGGTCCACCAGAGCTGTTGCCAGAGAATTTTATTGAACAACGTTGACATCAGCAAACCGCTCGCCCACACGACGCCATGCACGCTGTCTGCCATCTGCCCGGTACAGTTGAAACCGGGATTCATCCATGAAGAGCACACTTCTCCAGCGTGCCAGTGGCCATCGAAGGTGAACATTTGCCCACTGAAGTCGGTTATGACACCGAACTGCAGTTAGGTCAAGTCCCTGGTGAGGACGACGAGCACGCAGATGAGCTTCCCTGAGGCGGTTTCTGACAGTTTGTGCAGAAATCCTTCGGTTGTGCAAACCCACAGTTTCATCAGCTGTCTGGGTGGCTGGTCTCTGACGATCCCGCAGGTGAAGAAGCCGGATGTGGAAGTCCTGGTCTGCGGTTGTGAGGCCAGTTGGACGTACTGCCAAATTCTCTAAAACTACGTTGGAGGCGGCTTATGGTAGAGGATTGAACATTCAATTCTCTGGCAACAGCTCTGGTGGACATTCCTGCAGTCAGCATGCTAATTAACGCTCCCTCAAAACTGCACATTGTAGAGTGGCCTTTTATTGTCAGCCAGCATTAGATGCACCTGTGTAATGATCATGCTGTTTAATCAGCTTCTTGATATGCCACACCTGTCAGGTGAATGGATTATCTTGGCAAAGGAGAAATGCTCACTAACAGGGATGTAAACAAATTTGTGTACAACATTTGAGAGAATGAAACTTTTGGTGCGTTTGGAAAATTTCCTGGATCTTTCATTTCAGCTCATGAAACATGGGACCAACACTTTTCATGTTGCATTTATATTTTTGTTACATCTAGCACGATAACTATAATAACAAAATAATTATAATTCAAGTGAATGACTGTGTCCCCACTACAGTGTGTTTCAAAGCAGCAACGAGGATGTATCATCATTAGCAAGTCTGATACACGCTCCTCAGTGAGTCACATTTAAGCAGATCATCGGTACACAGATCCACACTGCAGCGATAACATGGAAGTAAAAAATGATGAAATCCTGTGGTTTCCACATCCACTAACTAATACACATCTGTGCAGGAGCCCACGGTTCCTTCCCCATCCCCTCCCTGGGCCCGTCGAGCGTGACTGTAATTATAATTAATCCTAATAATCATGTTTTTAAAAGGTTGACGGCTGTGACAAAGATGTTCCTCCTTTAAAAAAGAAACAAGATACAAACAAAGTGAACGTAAATAACAGTGATGGCCCCTGGGGTCCCTATTCCCTAAATAACCTCTGAGCTGTGAGGCAACACTAATTGTCTCTGGCTCCACAGAGAGACTGTCAGACCACAGGCCTGCCTCTTGTCACAAAGCATCTTGTTACGGCAGGACACTTGTCGATCACTGAAAGTATATGTCTGTATATCTATTATTTTTGCTCTTCTCTCTATCTGTCTTGTTCTGTTTCTCTCTATCACACACTCTCTCTGTCGATGCTCCCTCATTCTGTCTTGCTCTCCTTTCCATTACTTCTCTTAAACACATGTCATTTCCCCGTCTCTCTGTTGACCCTGCTCTTATGAATTTTTAACAACTGGCTACCTTATTATAAACTTCATTCTTATGAGGTGCATCTCATTATCTTCCACAGGAAATGTGATGACAACAATATGAAGACTAATTCTCTCTCTCTCTCTCTCTCTCTGGTCACCTCAGGAACCTGGGCTATTCTGTTATCCTGCACAATGAGTGGAAGATGAGTCACTGAGAAGAGGTACTGGAAGAGAGAGAGAGAGAGAGAGAAAAGGAGAGAACGTGAGCGACGAAGATAGACCATTATGGGGAGTCACACAGTGCTGTTCCACATCTTACCAATCCATTCTTCTTCCAGCCCCGTGGGACAATGCTAAGCGGGCTGGAAGGGCCAGCCTGTAGATTAGGTGATGGGAAGGATGGACAATGTGTATTCAGAGGAGCTGTGTCTATTCTCCGGTAGATACCATGCCCCCGTCACAATTCCATCTCCTGGGATATTATTAGAGGTACGTTGGAGCTGAGTGCATCCAGGAGTCATGCAACATAATGCCCTGTTCTCACGCTCACCTCTCTCTTCTGGGTCTTCTGACTTATTTAATGTGAAATACATGTCCTCTTTTAGATGTAGATTTTGTATGAGGGAGATCTGAGCCACACTTTAAGTTGGCACTTGCTCCCATGTTTAATGTGCTGACATTATTATACTTTAACTGCTCATTATAAGGAAATCAGGAAGCTGAGTGGACTATATTATAAATAAATTAAGTTCTGTGGACTATGAGAATCTGGTTCACCCTGAAGACTTACTTTATGACGTTAAAGCTCAGGATACTGTTCTCTCTATCCGTAGTCTGAGCAAAGTACAGACCTTTTGGCTTTGGTGACATTTCTCAGGAAGTCAGATAGCCAGAGAAACATACACACACACTTGAGAAAGGACCAGTCCCTTGGAGTGCTGCAGAAGGGGGATGGCAGGACGGACGGCACTGCAGTGTGACATTTATCTCGAATCATCTCCATGATCACTCAAACCAACAAGCTACAGCTGTCTCCCCAGATCTGCTTGGTGATGGAATACAATACATGTATCCCATTGTCATAGAGAATAAACTAATAGTCAACAGACAAATTGCATTGAGATAGAATAGAATTACTCCCTACTCTCTGACAGAAGATTTTATCACATCAAACGGCCTGCAGGGACTGTGGATGTCGGGGGGAAGAACAAGACGCCACAGGAGACATGGTGAGCATAGAGCCGAATCACTTGCTCACTGGCCAACACACCAACAGCAAGACCGCCGACAAGCTGCCTGGCGCCATGACCGTGCGCTCCGTGCTGCTCAACCGCGACTCACCAGACATCGAGAGCCGCCTCAAGCGCCGCCGCAACCGCACCCACCAGGTCCGCTTCAAAGACCTGGAGGATGGTGTAGGCGACGGGACCACTGGCGCTGGAGCTGGAACGAAGGGCCACCAGAGGATTGCTGCTGAGTGTAACAGCCCCCACCCCCTCCGGAAGAACACACCCACGAGCCCCATGGCCCCCCAGGGATGGCTAACAGAGAGGTCAGTGGGGGGCAAGGTGTCCTCCAACCAGGCCTCGGTAGTGGGGGCTGTCAGAGGGGACATGGCAGACACTATTGAGGTAGTGGCAGCGTTTTTGGCTCGGGCGCCCCCTCACCCGCTCACCCCGGGGCCCACGCGCCGCTGCTGGGCACCACCACCATCACCCCCACGGCCTTGCTCCCTCACACTACCCCTCTCCCGGAGGCAGTGCGCTAGCATGGCCATCCAGACCTCCTCCTGCCTCCAGAAGCCCAAGCTTCCGGCGCACTCAGCCATCAGCACGCGCAGCCGAAATGTGGGGGACTCGGTGTGGGTGAATGGGGATGACGAACAGGACAATAAACAGGATGAGTACTACACTACCCACAACCATGTTTCAGAACCTGCATCTATAGATGGAAATGGCCCTGGGTCTAAGGCTAAACAGGGATTGGTGGACCAACCCCGGTGCCTCAGGACTAGCGAGGCTAACGATGAGGCTAACGCTAGCTCCCCTGCTGTTGGAAATCACATGGACTCTTCCAGGCATGACTCTTCTTCTTCCCCTCCCCCAGTTCGGCTTCGGCACACTGCAGAGCCTTGCTACTGCGATTCTGTGACCTGTGGGAGGGAGGGATCTAAACGCCAGGGGAGTGCAACTCCGTCCCAAGTGAGGAGGAGAAGGCGCATGAACCGTGGTATCAGTGACCCAGGGAGGGAGGTGTCCTACTGTACCACTCCCACACAGACAGACAGTCCCTGTGTCTCCCCTCCTAACACCCCACCTCCCTCAACTGTGCAGCCCTGCACCTCCCCACCTCCCTCGACTGTGGAACCCTCCTCCCTCCAAACTCAGACTGTGCCTCTATATGCTTCCTTACCTAAAACTGTGCCAACCTCCACCCATCCACATTGTGAAACACCACCACTGGTGGTTCTGCCTTGCGCCCCCCCACCCCTGTCCATCTGTACATATCCCCCGAAAAAATCTGTGCTTCCTCCAACTGTGCTTCCATCTAAAGCTCAAACCACTCCACCTCTCACTACACAAACTGAAACTGTCCCACCCTGTACCTCCCTGATTCAAATCAAACTAACATGCACCACCACAACTACAACCACAGCCTCAATTCCAAATTGTCCCACCCCACCACCAACTCCAACGATAGCCCCCTATACAGCCCCTAATTGCCATGACCCAAAACCAACTCCTGTTCTAGCCCCCTACACTGCCCCAACTTGCCCCAATCCAACACCAACTACAACTCTAGCCCCCTCCACTGCCCCAACTTTCCCCACCCCAAATCCAACTCTAGCCCCCTACACAGCCCCAACTTGCCCCACCCCAACACCAACTCCAAATATAGCCCCCTGCACCATCCTAACACAAACTCCCCCACCCTGCTCTTCCTTAAATCAACCTATATCTCCACCTCCAAATGTGACATCATGCCACCCCCCAGCCCAAACTGCCCCTCCCTACATCTCCTTAATTCAGACCATACCACCTGGGAACCCCCCATGTCAGACCGTACCACCCTGCTCCTCCCAACCTCCAGTAGTACCTTCCTACTCCGCCCACATTCAACTAAAATACTGCTCCTCTCCCTCTCCCATTGTAAAAAGCTGCAACTCCCCGCCTCCAATGGTAAAATCCTACCATACACTTCCCATCTTGTGCAACTCCAACGAAAACTGTGCCCCTCTACGCTTCCACGTTTCGGCCTGCGCCCCCCTACACCCCCCCACCTCAGGCCCAACACTGCAGCACTCAGGACAGTAGGGTGATAGAGTGGGAGTGTAGGGGGGAGAGGAGGATACTTCCACCACCACCCCCGCCCCCTCCCCCATACACCCCACGCAAAGAGGGGGTGAGTTGCACCCCAGGCTTGGCCCGCCAGTCGTCCCTGCTCAGGCGGGCGGGTGAGAAGGAGAGGTCAGGAAGATCAGGGTCACCCCTGCCCTGTCCTCAAGCCAGCTGTCTGAAACACAGAGCTCAAACACCCTTGGCGGTCCCTCTGAAAGGGAACCAGGGGGACCAGGGCTCCTCGCCCACCAAGGCCATCTCCAGACCCACCTGCCTGGGCCAGGCTCAGGCTCAGCTAGGGGCTCAGCTTGGGGCCCTCCATAAAATTCTCTGCTCTGGGACCAACACCCCCAACAGCCAGCAAGCTCTCCCCCCCGGCCAGTGCCTGTCCGGGGACCGTGGCTGCTCTGGCTCTGGAGGGGGCCCCATGGCCGGGCCCCTGACCTCCACCCAGGCCGACACCCTGAAGCAGGTGCAGGAGATCCTGGGGGGGCTGGTGTCGGGCGCCAGGAGTAAACTGGATCCGACCTGGGTGGCAGAGAAACTGATGGGCCCCAACGGTCCCCTGCACGACATCCGGAGCCTGCAGACCCAGCTGCACAGCATGGAGGGGGTCCTGGAGACCAGCCAGAACACTATCAAGGTCCTGCTGGACGTCATACAGGACCTGGAGAAGAAGGAGGCAGAGAGAGACGGGTGAGTGAGTCCCACTGAGCCATACAATTACAGTCAGCTACAATAATACATTGTTGTGCCAACACAGATTCGGCATTCATGAAAAACTCAGGACCATATTCATAATGCCTGCTTGGCATTGTTGTACAAAAATATATACAGTACCAGTCAAACACCTACTCATTCATGTGTTATTTCATATCTTTGATGTCTTCACTATTATTCTGCAACATAGAAAATAGTAAAAATAAAGAAAACCCTTGAATGAGTAGGTGTGTCCAAACTTTTGACTGGTACTGTATAAATTAAAAAGAAGACAATGTAATAATTATATAAGCCTACTTGAATTCTGAAAATAACATTTGTATTCAAATCAAATCAAATTGTATTTGTCACATACACGTGTTTAGCAGATGTTATAGCGGGTGTAGCGAAATGCTTGTGCTTCTAGCTCCGACAGTGCAGTAATATCTAACAAGTAATATCTAACAATTTCACAACATATACCCAATACACACAAAACTAGTAAGGAATGGGATTTAAGAATATATACATATATGGACAAGCAATGACAGAGCGGCATGGACTAATATACAGTAGAATATTATAGAATAGAATGCAGTATATACATATGAGATGAGTAGTGCAAGATATGTAAACATTATTATGTGACTAGTGTTCCATTTCTTAAAGTGGTCAGTGATTTCAATAGGCAGCAGCAGCCTCTAATGTGCTAGTGATGGCTATTTAACAGTCTGATGGCCTTGAGATAGAAGCTGTTTTTCATTCTCTCGGTCCCAGCTTCTCTCGGTTCATTCTCTCGGGTGGTTGATGTCCTTGATGATCTTTTTAGCCTTCCTGTGACATCGGGTGCTGTATGTGTCTTGGAGGGCGGGTAGTTTACCCCTCTGGAGAGCCCTTTGGTTGTGGGCGGTGCAGTTGCCGTACCAGGCAGTGATACAGCCCGACAGGATGCTCTCAATTGTGCATCTGTAAAAGTTTGTGAGGGTTTTAGGTGCTAAGCCGAATTTCTTCAGCCTCCTGAGGTTGAAGAGGCTCTGTTGCGCCTTCTTCACCACACTGTCTGCGTGGGTGGACCATTTCAGTTTGTCGGTGATGTGTACGACAAGGTACTTGAAGCTTTCCACCTTCTCCACTGCGGTCCCGTCGATGTGGATAGGGGGGTGCACCCTCTGCTGTTTCCTGAAGTCCACAATCATCTCCTTTGTTTTGTTGATGTTGAGTGAGAGGTTATTTTCCTGGCACCACACTCCCAGAGCCCTCACCTCCTCCATGTAGGCGATCTCGTCATTGTTGGTAATCAAGCCTACTACTGTTGTGTCGTCTGCAAACTTGATGATTGAGTTGGAGCCGTGCTTGGCCACGCAGTCATGGGTGAACAGGGAGTACAGGAGGGGGCTGAGCACGCACCCTTGTGGGGCCCCAGTGTTGAGGATCAGCAGAGATGTTGTTTCCTACCTTCACCACCTGGGGGCGGCCCGTCAGGAAGTCCAGGACCCAGTTGCACAGGGCGGGGTTCAGACCCAGGGCCTCGAGCTTAATGATGAGCTTGGAGGGTACTATGGTGTTGAATGCTGAGCTATAGTCAATGAACAGCATTCTTACATAGGTATTCCTCTTGTCCAGATGGGATAGGGCATTGTGCAGTGTGATGGCGATTGCATCGTCTGTGGATCTATTGGGGCGGTAAGCAAATTGAAGTGGGTCTAGGGTGAGAGGTAAGGTAGAGGTGATATGATCCTTGACTAGTCTCTCAAAGCACTTCATGATGACAGAGGTGAGTGCTACAGGGCGATAGTCATTTAGTTCAGTTACCTTTGCTTTCTTGGGTACAGGAACAATGGTGGCCATCTTGAAGCATGTGGGAACAGCAGACTGGGAAAGGGAGAGATTGAATATGTCCATAAACACACCAGCCAGCTGGTCTGCGTATGCTCTGAGGACGTGGCTAGGGATGCCGTCTGGGCCGGTAGCCTTGCAGGGGTTAATATGCTTAAATGTCTTAATCACGTCGGCCATGGAGAAGGAGAGGCCACAGTCCTTGGTGGTGGGCCTCGTCAGTGGCACTGGGTTATCCTCAAAGCGGGCGGAGAAGGTGTTTAGCTTGTCTGGAAGCGAGACGTCGGTGTCGGCGACGTGGCTGGTTTTCTTTTTGTAGTCCGTGATTGTCTGTAGACTGCCACATACGTCTCGTGTCTGAGCCGTTGAATTGCGACTCCACTTTGTCTCTATACTGATGTTTTGCCAGTTTAATTGACTTGCGGAGTGAGTAGCTACACTGTATTCTGCCATATTCCCAGTCATCTTGCCATGGTTGAATGCGGTGGTTCGCGCTTTCAGATTTGCGCGAATGCTGCTATCTATCCACGGTTTCTGGTTAGGGCAGGTTTTAATAGTCACAGTGGGCACAACATCACCTATACACTTCCTGATAAACTCAGTCACCATTTCAGTGTATACGTCTAAATTATATTCGGAAGCTACCCGGAACATATCCCAGTCCGCGTGATCAAAACAATCTTGAAGCGTGGATTCCGATTGGTCAGACCAGCGTTGAATAGTCCTTAGCACGGGTACTTCCTGTTTGAGTTTCTGCCTATAGGAAGGGAGAAGCAAAATGGAGTTGTGGTCAGAATAGCCGAAAGGAGGGCGGGGGAGGGCCTTATAACCACCCCGGAAGTTTGAATAGCAATGGTCGAGGATTTTAGCAGCGCGAGTACAACAGTCAATATGTTGATAGAACTTCGGCAGCCTGGTCCTCAAATTTGCTTTGTTAAAATCCCTGGCTACAATAAATGCAGCCTCAGGATATGTGGTTTCCAGTTTGCATAAGGTCCTGTGAAGTTCTTTGAGGGCCGTCGTGGTATCGGCTTGAGGGGGAATATACACAGCCGTGACTATAACCGAAGAAAATTCTCTTGGGAGATAATACGGTCGGCATTTGATTGTGAGATATTCTAGGTCGGGTGAACAGAAGGACTCAAGTTCCTGTATGTTACTACAATTACACCATAAGTCGTTAATCATGAAACACACACCTCCGCCCTTCTGCTTCTCAGAGATATATTTATTTCTGTCTGCGCGTTGAACTGAGAACCCATCTGGCTGGACCGATTCCGACAGAATATCCCAAGAGAGCCATGTTTCGGTGAAACAGAGTATGTTACAGGCCTTCATGTCTCTCTGGAAAGAAATCCTTGCCCGTAGTTTGTCGACCTTGTTAACCAAAGACTGAACATTAGTGAGTAGAATACTTGGAAGTGGTGGGTGGTGTGCGCGCCTCCTAAGTCGAACCAGCAGGCCGCTCCGAGTGCCTCTCCTCCGCCGGCCGCCCAGGGCAAACAAAGGATCTGCTTCGGGAAAGTCGTATTCCTGGTCATAATGCTGGTGAGTTACCGCCGCTCTGATATCTAATAGTTTTTCCCAGCTGTATCTAATGATGCAAAACACTTTCTGAGCTAATAATGTAAAAAATAATACATAAAAATACAAAATACTGCAAAGTTTCCTAAGAGCTAGTCGCGAGGCCGCCATCTTCGTTGGCGCCAGGATCATATTAAATTGGTTACTTTGAAAAAAGAGAAGAGAAAAAAGGAGAAAGCTAAGATTAATGGAATTATTTTAATTTTATTTATACTGAACAAAAATGTAAACGTAACATGCAACAATTTCAAAGATTTGACTGAGTTACAGTCATATGAGGATAAATTACAATTAATTAATTAGGCCCTAATCTATGGATTTCACATGACTGGGAATACAGATATGGGTCAGTTGGTCACAGACACCTTAAAAAAAATGGCCTCACAATGGGCCTCAGGATCTCGTCATGGTATTTCTGTGCATTCAAATTGCCATTGATAAAATGAAATAGTGTTCGTTGTCCATAGTTTATGCCTGCCCATGACATAATCCCACTGCCACCATGGGGCACTCTGTTTATAATGCTGACATCATCAACCGCTCGCACACACGACACCATACACGTGGTCTGCGGTTCTGAGGCCAGTTGGACGCTCTGCCAAATTCTCTAAAACGATGTTGGAGGCAGCTTATGGTAGAGAAATTAACATTCAATTGTCTGGCAACAGCTCTGGTGGACATTCCTGCAGTCAGCATGCCAATTGCATGCTGACGCAAAACTTGAGACATCTGTGGCATTGTGTTGTGTGACAAAACTGCACATTTTAGAGTGGCCTTTTATTGTCCCCAGCACAAGGTGCACCGGTGTAATGATCATGCTGTTTAATCAGCTTCTTGATATGCCACACCTGTCAGGTGGATGGATTATCTCAGTAACAGGAATGTAAACAAATTTGCGAAAATTAAGCTTTTTGTGCATTTGGACAATTTCGGGGATCTTTTATTTCAGCTCATGAAACATGACCCCAACACTTTCCATGTTGCGTTTATATTTTTGTTCAGTGTATTTAACCCTTATTTTACCAGGTAAGTTGACTGAGAACATTCTCATTTACAGCAACGACCTGGGGAATAGTTACAGCGGAGAGGAGGGGGGATGAATGAGCCTATTGGAAGCTGGGGATGATTAGGTGGCCATGATTGTATGCGGGCCAAATTGGGAATTTAGCCAGGACACCGGGGTTAACACCCCTACTCTTGCGATAAGTGCCATGGGATCTTTAGTGACCACAGAGAGTCAGGACACCCGTTTAACGTCCCATCCAAAAGACAGCACCCTACGCAGGGCAATGTCCCCAATCACTACACCCTGGGATATTTTTTTAGACCAGAGGAAAGAGTGCCTCCTACTGGCCCTTCAACACCACTTGCAGCAACATCTGGTCTCCCATCCAGGACCAGGCTTGCTTAGCTTCAGAGGCAAGCCAGCAGTGGGACACAGGCTGGTATGCTGCTGGCATTAGGAAACAGTTAGAAAACAGAAGGTTCGAATAAGAAAAAGGAATGCCTTGGAGCACAGAAACACAAAGGCCTGGAAAGTAAATGTCACACATAAGTTTTCTTAGCTCTGCTTCGAGAGGT